GAAGGGCCAGACCCCCTTCCCGAGATGCCGAGGGGAGGGGGCGGGGGGTGGGGGCGGGCACAAGCAACTGCCGAAGCTCTCCTGCTCATTTCCTTCTCCATTTAATGCATTTCTACCCCCCCACCCCCCAGAGGGGCTTACATCATTCTCGTCTCCTCCATTTTATCCTCACAACAACCACCCTGTGAGGTAGGCAGGCTAGGCCAAGAGAGCGCGTGGCTGGCCCAAGGTCATCTGAGCCTGGCTCCCCCCCAGGTCCTAGAGTCCAACAACACACTCTGAATCACTGCGCTGTACTGGCCCTTCCAGGGCGTGGCCCGGCCGCGGGGGAAGTCTGGAGGGTGCCGCCACAGCCCTCTACACTCTGCCCCTGTGCCAGCAGCAGAGGCAGGCGGATCAGGGTCTCCACCACTCGACAGCTGCTCAGCCATCCACAGCACATGGGCAACGTGGGGGACACGAGGACCCAGACGGACGCATCGGAAGTCTGGAGGGACTGTGCAGAACGTCGCTCGCAGCCTCCACCCCCGGGCACATCTCCCTTGCGGCGCAGCCTCACGGGTTTCCTGCGGAACTGGCACCTGGCCATGATGAGCTGCCGCCTCTCGCCATCCTTATTGCGCCAGGAAGCCATCTGCAGGAGGCCTCCTCACTCTCCAAAGTCCACACCCCAAGCAGCCCAGCTTCAAGCAGGAGAGCGTGGCCTTCGCGTGCCATGTCACAGGTGGCGTCAGTTGACAACCAGGACGTTCTCCTCCAGAGGGGTTCTGGGGGGTGGGTGGGGGTGTACAGAGGAAAGAAGAGAAGAAAGCCATCAGGCTGGATACCCCTTGACACCCCCTCTCTTGCAAGCAGAAAAGCACGACGTGTCCGAGACTACAAGCAGCAGCCTTGATACCCACACCAAGCCATCTCCCCCCCCCCCAGTACTCACTGCATGTTCTGGGGGCTCAGTCCAAACCCTCAGCCAGCACCTCTCCACTGGGTGGCAGCAGAGGGCAGCAGTGAGCCCATCTTCTGGGCAGGGGGGAGAGAGGAGCCTTTCCTGTTCTTGCCCCAGCTGCTTAACCCCGAAGAAGAAGACGAGTATAGATGCAGCTACCCCCACCCCACCCCCAGCAGACTTACGGCTCACAGCAGCAGCAGAAGGCGGAGCACGAGGAGCTGTTTCCCCGGCGAAATTTCCCAGACTTCGGGCTGTCCTTGCAGGCGGCTATGTAGGCATGGAGCTGCGTGGTGGCCGTCTCGCCCTCGCACTGATGCTGCAAGGACGAGAGGCGAGAGGGATTCAACGGGGCCCGGTCTGCCCGCTAGCTGGCCTCTCACAGGACTGTGCTAAGGGAGGGGCAAACCTATCTACCCAGTCGGGGCAGATCTGGAACTGAGTGGGATCCCCTCCCCCCCCCGCGAACAAAGTTCAGGAAACTGCCCCCCACCCCCACCCCCGCTCACAAGTCCCTCTGATCCGGACCACCTGGCACTGAGGCGAGGCCCCGTGCCGGAGCCCCCACGCTTGAGCTCTCTCTCTGTCCAACACAAGACAGCTCAGTCCCTAGTCGAACCACCTTGATGGTCTCGTAGGAGCCGGTGATCAGAGCGATGAAGAGGCTGAGCACCATGTAGATGAAGAGGCTGATGAAGGTGTACAGGTAGAGCTGGCTGAAGAGCCACACCAGGTAGCTGTTCTGCTGCATCTCAGCAAACGTCACAAACATGTCGTCCCCGTTGATGAGGGAGAAAAGGCACTCTGACACCATCGAAAGGGAGCGGAACTGAAACCGGACCAGGCAGAGAAGTAAACAGACAAGGAAGACACAGATTCAACATGCAGAAGCAGCTGGTGCTGTTCACAGCAGGACAGTGCCTATTAACAGGAAGGTCAGCAGTTTAGCCGTTTGAGAACCGAGTGTGCCGCGTGACGGAGTGAGCTCCCGTCTCTGGCCCCAGCTCCTGCCAGCCTAGCAGTTCGAAAGCAAGACATGGCAAGGAGATCAATAGGGACTGCTTTGGTGGGAAGGAGGTCAGTGTTCCGTGCACCTTGGCCACATGACCACGGAAACGTCTCTGGACAGCGCTGGCTCTTCGGCTTGGAAACGGAGATGAGCACTGCATCCCTAGAGTCGGATTCGACTGGCTTTCGAGCAAGGGAGACCTTTACCATTACCTCTATTCCACAGGCAGATTTTCTGCAGCAAGTTCACCGCAAGAGAAGGCAAGTCACAATGCCTAACCTTATGTTGCTCCAGCTCAGATACTGCAGCAAGGATTCAGAAGTCAGATACTTACTGCAAACCAGAGTGGTTGGTGGCAAAACCATTCAGTACAAACTCGGGATTATGGACCTCATACAGTCATCACTGAGTTGCAGGATCAGCCCCACAGTTCAGCTAAACTCCCGCCAAACGCATAGTCAGCCCGCTGTGATAGGCAGATCTTGCAGACAGGCAGACCATCTGTGCACAGCTCATATTGAGAAGCTTGCATCTCTGTGGATATGGCCCAAGGCGAACCATCCACACTTCGGAGCGCTAATTTTTTGCATCCTTCTGACATTTGAGAGAGAGAGAGAGAGAGAGAGAGAGAGAGAGAGAGAGAGAGAGAGAGGGGCAGAGCTTTTGTTGAAGAACAGAGCAGGGAACCCTCAGGGCAGAGGGGGGAAGTTCCGATAGGCTGCTGAACTGGAACCAATCCCCGCCGTTTCTCTTTGAGATGCAAGGGGGGCTGGCGCCTTTATCACAAGGGTACAGGTGGATTGAGCTGTGGTGGCTCAAGTGGTTAAGACGCTGAACTGCAGGCTGTGGAAGGTCGGTAGTTCGGCAGTTTGAGACCCGAGTGTGCTGCATGAAGGAGTGAGCTCCCATCTCTAGTTCCAGTTCCTGCCAACCTAGCCGTTCGGAAGCAAGAAATTGCAAGTAGATAAATAGGTACCGCTTCGGTGGGAAGGGAACAGCGTTCCGTGCACCTTGGTGTTTAGTCATGCTGGCCACATGACCACGGAAACGTCTTCGGACAGCGCTGGCTCTTCGGCTTGGAAACGGAGATGAGCACCGCAGCCCTAGAGTCGGACTCGACTGGCCTTCGAGCAAGGGAGACCTTTACCTTTTACAGGTGGATTCAGCACGTGCTGCGGGCAGCCAGGAGAGGCCTGCCACACGTTGCCTCCCTCGAGAGGACTCCCGGATGGCCACCCAGCAGCCCCGCCTGGCCACGCCACCCCTTCACAGGCACGAGCACCACTCATGCCCCTCTCCCCGAGAGGACATTCTGAAAGAGGTATTGGCTCCGCTCGCTTTGGCACCGGCCTCCTGCCGCTCAGCACCACGGCCAGCTCCTGCCCGGTACCTTGACATGGTAGGGTCCCAACACGATCCAGCCGCAGAAGCAGTAGCCCAGGTAGATGACCGCCACACAGCAGCAGAAGCGGATGACGTTGGGGAAGGCAACTCGCATGGTGACTATCAGAATCTGGGGGAGAAATCGAGTGAGAAGGCTTGCCGGGGAGCGGGGCGGGGGGGGGGAGGGATATAGGGTTTTGGACTAGGGTCTCTGGGAGGGGCCAAGTTCAAGTTCCAGATCAACCGCGGACTTGTCTGTCAAGTCATCAGTGACCCCCAATGAGAAAACCTAGGCTCCATAAACACGGGTACACGCAGGAATGACTCTGACCTGCAGCGTAACCCACATTACACTGCACACACGTAAGATTAGGTACCGGGTGCGGAATTGATCACTTTGAACATCTGTGTTTTCGTTAAAATGAAAAACAAAAACAAAGTTTCAGGCACAAGATCTGGGAAGTCCCTCCTGGTCTTGTCTCTAGAGCTGCCTGCCACTGGGGGGGGGGGAAGCAGATGTTAAACACTCACGTTGTACTTCTGGAAGAAGCTGAGGTACCGCATGACTCCGACCCAGACCAGGAGCGTGGAGGTGCCCAGGAGGATGCTGCACACATCGTAGCTGGCCAAGTTCTGTCAACGACAAACACCGGTCGCTTTTGAGGCCCCCCCCCCCCCCCCCCCGTGCTCCAGTGGCTACGGGGAAACGACACACACTGACGTCTCATTCAGACATGACAGAGGTGATGCCAGTGGTGGTGAAGGAAGAATGTCTGGCTGGTGCGGATCCATTCGATTCAGACGGAACCGCAGGCGTCCAGGTCGCCCCACTGCTGGCTGGCCTAAGAGTGGCAGTGTCCCCAAAGAGAGGGAAGCCTTAAGGGGGCGATTCCAACAGGAGATTTTGCTGAACGTGAGGAGTTCATTCACAAGCTCACCACAGCAAACCCTCCAGGCTGAATAGGGACACGGGATTCTTATGTTCAGGTGGGTCACCGTGTTGGTCTGAAGCAACAAAACAAAGTTTGAGTCTGGTGGCACCTTTGAGACCAATGAAGTTTCATTCTGGGCCTACGCCTTCACGTGCACGCACACTTCTTCAGGTGGGATTCTTATCCCACTACAGGTGCTAATTTCCTGACCCCAAAGCACTTTCCACTCCGCTCTCATCAAGCTGACTGCAGCCTGCAGGGTGTACCTCCGCCCCCCTGGCTCCTTTCTCTCTCACACCCCTCCCACCTTCTGCCTGGGACTGCAGGACACGGAGACCTGCACCCCTGCACTTGTACCCGAGACAGGGGAGGGTCTTTGACTGAACTTCGCTGGCCTCTCAGGTGTTGCTGGACTCAAATCTGGCTGTTCTATGGCAGACCCAACATGGCCACCCCCTAAAACAGATTTCTTTAGGGCCTGATATAATGGATGATAAAGCCAGTCACTGGTGTTGCTGGACGTGCCTTCTTTCAATTCAGGCTAGCTCCTTATCTGAACTCTGCTGACCTGGCTACGCGCCGATCCAGGCTGCCGTAGCCTTCAGACTGGACTACTAGGGAAGGCAGGCTCCTTCCAAAGAGCGTCCGATAGAGGGTGAATCGTTTGCAGCAGCGCTGGCTGTGTTTGTTCTAGTCCTAGCCCTTTGCTAACCCTGTGCATTGCTAGCTGCCCTGCATCGGAGGAGATCAGGCAGAACAGAAATGTTTCAAAGAAAAAGGGCTACCCCCCTTCTTTGCACCATGAGCTTTGGCAGCTGAGACTGCAGCCCATAATGATACAAAGCCTTTCCAGGGATGTGACCACCACCCACCGTCTGCCAAGCCAGCTGCTTACCTTGGACTCGATTCCAATCTTCATGATGGTCCCAGAGACAGTGAGGATGTCACTCACGACCAGCAGGATGTACCAGCCGTTCACAAACTCCATGCGGTCTGACAGGCAGACACCCTGGTCGTAATGCTGCTGGAAGAACTGGCTGAACTCCTGGAAACAGAAAAGGGTGTGTCCCCCTGCTGAGCTGCAGTCCTCCCTCGCCTCTCTTGTGCCCGAAGGGAAGGGCAGGGCCACTTCTGGCTAAGCCTGGAAGGTCGTGCCCTTGGAAAGATGCGGGCTGGGCGGCTCCTTCCTGGGCCTGACGATCCACCTGCTTCCAGGCCCCAGCCTTTCTGAGCCTGTTGGGCCCCTTTGGAACTAGGACACCACAAGGTGGTGGGGGTGGGGGTGCAACTACAAAATGGCTGCTGCAGGAGTCAGAGCCACACATATGCACAGGGAAAGCCCAACTGCAGGGGAGAAGAGGGGTGATTTAAGAAATACACCTTGGAGGGGGGGGAGAGATGTGAGAGAGAATAAAACCGGCCCTGTGGTGGCAGTTCCATCTGAAACACTGTTCTAACCTGGGCAGCCAATCCCATCTCCAGTGGCCAATCAGAAGCCCTGCTGGACAAGAGCCCCACACAGCCCCACCCACTTTCTCGAAACACTTCGGGGGGGGGCACCACTGGGCAAAGGTGTGGGCACACACCATGCTGCACCCACAGGCATGACCGCGCTGGGGACCCCTGGGCTAGATGGATCCACGACAGGACCGAATATCCAGCCGCTCATGTTCCAGCCTTGCCTCCCTGTGGCATCCCACGTGGCCCTGCAGTCCCATGGATTCCCACTGGGGCATGAAACTGCTCCTGCAGCAGTCCTTACATGTTGCAGCCGAAGGCCCCTGACAATCGAGCGGGTGCACAGGATGAAGGAAAGCACGCAGACGAGGAGCACAACCACATCAAAGAACATCCGTGAACTATTGTCTCCTGCAAGGAAGAGGGAGGGCAGCACTTAATTGTCGAAAAAGCTCCAAACTATTTAGCGCTCATTCAGCATGCAGGGCTCTAAAGAACAAACCCCAAAGCTTCAGGTCCCAGCCAGTGTTCCCTCTAAGCTGAGTGAGTGTGAGCTAGCTCAAAGTGTTTTAGCCTCTGGCTCACACATTTTTGTCTCAGTTCAGGAAGGGATGGCTCCAGAGCAAACTAATTTATGCAGCAACCAAATGGCTCGCTCACAACTTTAATGCCAGTGGCTCACAAAGTAGAATTTTTGCTCACAGGACTCCACAGCTTATAGGGAGCAAGATATCTAGATTTTCTAGAATGGTCTTGCATTAGCAGAAAGTACCTATTGCCAGAGAAATACACTCCCATATTGGAAGCCAGTGCTACAGAAACAGTCAGGATCCAGGTGTGTTTGTTAACAAAATTATCAACAGTGGGGCCCCGGTGAGATTTCCCCGTTTGCAACACTGCTGCTGCACACAGCGTAGCTCTGCTGCCCCCTGTTCTCAGGGGATTTAAACCCCCTCATGTATTGTTTTTTAATTTCCAGGTTTTTCTGCAAGTTTGATGAAAAATCTGTTTAGCCTACATGTGGCCCTGATACATAGAAGCACTGCATAATACTCAATAATGTCTTGTGAACAGGGGCTGGGTATTTCCCCCCCAGGGATTCGGGGGTAGAAGGAGCTCAAGAAGACACAGAAAATGCTGGCATGGGACACACAGCAAGGTCTGTAACACTTCAAAATGCTACAGCTTCCCAAAGGAGTCAAATGCCCTTTCCTGCTCTGGCACTAACCATCTGGTCATTAAAGATGAAATTTACACACTTCCAGCACGGAAGCCCCCGTCCTTTGCCAAAGAGAGCTTTGGTGCTTGCGGTGTGCTAAATTCACCCTGCGTCCAGTCTGTACCTTTGCCAAACACACTGGGGTCTTTACACTCCTGGATGTCCACTCTGTTGTCCAGATGGATCTTCACTCGGCCACTATGTGCTTTGTTGTCAAACACGATCTGGGGGAGGGGTGGCAGAGAAGGACAGGAGAGCGTCAGACACCGGAGAGAGAAGCCTTAACAGTGAGAGTCTTCCTCACATGAGAAGGGTCCTTAAAAGAAAGAGAGGGAAGGGGACGCACAGCTGTAGAGACTCACCATTATGGAGAAGGTGTAGCAGTCTGGGATTTCATTGTTGATGATGGTCTGGATGTTGATGGCTTTCAGCTTGAACTGGAGGGTGACATTTATCAGCCTGCCAGAGAAAAAGATTTGGTGAATCAACTCTAGAGATGTGGGAAAAAACATTAGAAGAAAATCAGAAGAATTCAGGAGAAACACACAGACATTTCTCCACCTCAAACACAGGAAGTTTTGGGAAGCACTGAAAAAATGTCCTGTGAAATATTTTATCTTGGAATGAGGGGAATGATTTTTAAAACAAGAATTGACTCACTTAATGTTTTGATTGAAGATTTTTAGGTAAGGCAGTCTACAGTATTAGATAATAATTTCTGTAAACATACCTGTGGCGTCCTCCTGATTAGGGAGGACTGGTTTTACTTTAAAAGTGTTCTTTATTTTGTTTTACTGGGTATATAAGGCTGCCACCAGGAAATTTTAAGGACTTCCAAACCATTATGCTTCTACTTCTGTTCTCACTGGTTAGGTAGACCGAGTTCAAGGCCCACGAGGGACTATGTGGTCCTGGGAAGTATTTCCTTCAGAGCTGGTATACTTAAAGAGGATTTATTAAAATAAAGCATGAATAAGAGGGTAGTACAATGTAACAAGTAATGTGTAAATACTGAAGGACTGCTTGGTGTATCACACACAATCTGCTCCCTTACTGACAGGGATCTTTCAGGTAACTTTGTAACACTTTAACTCAAGGTCATATATGTTCACTGTTTCTCTCCAGGACATACAGCCTTTCCTATAACTTGTCTTCAACTAAACTTTCATTTATTTTTCTCTATTCTCTCAGCCTTCCTTCTGTTTCTCACTGAACTAACTTATTCCACACAGGACTGCTTCTAACTTCTTTCATACACAGAACTAACTGCTTGTCTAACTCATTCCCCACACAGAACTGAACTTATCAACTGTCAAACCTGTAACTGTAAAACCTGACTGACATACATACTCATCCACTCATTTTCACTTCCAAAACCCCTCCCCCTCTCTGTCAACCACCAATCATACCACACTTGCCTCTCTCAACCACTCTAGTCTGTCTACCACAGCCATGCAACCAAACTTTTAAAGAGACAAACACACACCAAAAATAAGGAATCATTACAATACCCAACATATTTGCAAAGGTATGTAACTATGCTGCTAATATTGTGAATGCACGAGACATCTTCTGTCCAAAGAAGTCGCTACTACCACTCTCTCTCTTTCTTTAAGGAACAATGTGGGGTTTTTCCTTTTTTCAACTTTTATTTTTCCTTCCTCTCAGGTGGCAAGAAACGTGTGCTCAGGGAGCAGAGAGTGCAGAAATCCCCCCCCCCAAAAAAAATGTTGAGTATATCCACAAATTTGCTTGCGCATATGGTGTAGGGTGTGGAGCGGGGAATGCAAGAGGCACAAGAACCCCGCCCCAGAGATGAATATGTCTGAATATAAATAATAATTCTGCTTAAAAGGGTTAGGGTTTAATACTATGCGTGTTGCGTTTAATTTCATCTACGCAGCACGTAGCCAGAGAGAGAGAGAGAGAGAGAGAGAGAGAGAGAACCAGCTAAGTGACACGGGGCCGATTGCGGCTGCCGCCCACGTGTGGTGCCGCCACCAAAGGGGTGGTGGTGGTTTCCCCTCTCAGGGGTTCAGAAGGACTCTCCTGTGTCTGGGTAGACTCAAGATGTGTCAACTTCTCGTTCACCACCCTGTGTCATCTGGACCTGTGACTTGGAAGGAACAAGCTCACAGGATGCACGGTTATCCTACACACAATGTCACAGGTAATTAATTAATTAATTAGCCTAGCCAGGGGGGGGGGCACTGAGGGTTGGCAGTACCCCCCCCCAAAATGCAAGTTCCCACCCCCAGCTCACGTTTCCTGCCAGCGCTCTGAGCAGCAGCAGAGGAATTTTTTTTTTTAAGTTTAAATGGCCGTCAGGCCTGTGGCCTGCTGTCACGTCTGGGAAACCCCGCCTTTCTATCCTGTGGGAACCCAAAGCAGCTGACATCCTCCTCCCCACCCCCATTTTACCCTCACAACTACCACCACCACCCTGTGAGGGAGGCTAGCCCACCCAGCAAAGTTCCACGGCAGAGCCGAGGGCAGGACTGTGGCCCAACTGCAGCCTGGGAGCCCCACGCGCGCCTCTTTCACAGTCTCGTTTAACGTTCATAAAAAGCAAATCTGCCTATTTGTCAGCAGAAACGTGTGCGCGTAATATTTGTTCATGTCTTGTGGCTCTCAAACATCTGACGTTTATTCTGTGTGGCTGTGACGTTGAGGCAGTTTGGCCACCCCTGGCCTAGGGCAACACGTTCACTGCTGCACTACACGGGCTTTAACAACACCCAGCTAGAAAGAACGTTGCGAAACACCCCCCCACACACTGCACTTGGGGCCCTCGAAACAGAGCATGGTGGTCTTTCTGACAAAGTGAAAAGGCTCCAGGGCGCGGCTGAAGGAAGACGAAGGGAGGGATTTAGTAGGAAAGTGCAGAGCAGTGCAAAAATACTGGGGAGCTCACAGAGAATTGTCCACAGTCCTCAGGCCACATTTACCCACCCTCTGCCATGCAGCCTCAGAAAGTAAAGGACTGGGGGGGAGGGGGGAGAGAAGCGAAGGGACAGCAGCAGTGAGGAATGTTACCAACGCCTTTCCGTACTGGACTGTACGGCAGAGCAGCGGCCTCAGACTCGAGACCGTTCCAAGGGCTAGAAGTCCGGGGAAGGGAGCCACGCGGGGACTCTGGACTGCGTTTTGAGGGAGGCTAGTCTCATGAGGCTGGAGCAGGCGGAGCAAGCAGACTTAGGCCCTCAGGGCACAAGGAGCCAGTCCCAAGGCTGAGCACAAGCTGGGTGGGATTTCATCATAGGGTGATTTTAGCTCTGTGGGTGACTGGGGGGAAGCAGAGAGTTATCCAGAGTGAGCCCCCAGCCTGGCCGAGAGGGCGGGGGGGGTGCGTTGGGGAAGAGGTCTTAAAGCAGGAGGCTCCCCAAACGGGGACAGGTTTGGGACAAGAAAAGAGCCTGGCAGTTACTGCAAGAGCTCTTCTGAGTCCGCCATCCCAGGTTTCACCTGTTAAGCTAGATCCAGACGGGACACAACGGGGCACAGCGCTCCTACCGGCAGGCGGGCCTTCCCCAGGGGGGTGGCGCTTGGGCTCTGGGATGCCTGCCCGGCACCTCCTTTACTCTCTCTCTCTCTCTCTCAGGTGCCAGGCCAAGACACTCCTTTTTACCCGGGTGTTTAACGGATGGACTCCATCGTTTTAAGCCGTTTCTGCTGTCTGCTTTTACCTCGGGTTTGTTTTATGGATGTCATTTTCGGCTGCTGGGCAACGTGTGTGCTGTTTTTATGCCCTTGAGCAAACAAGCAGGGAGAAGGTGGCCAATCATGAGACCCACCAAACATACAAAAGCAACTTTGGAAAGGGAAAACAAAATCTGTTCTTTGCAAAAATATTGCATTATAAAATATAAGCTATTAAGTAAAGTACAAATACAGTACGAAACGTGTGATTCCATTAAAAGACGTACAATTACAAGCGGGACACAAGCCCTGCTGACATGCTACCCTGAAGGGACATAGGGCACCCTCTTCATGCTGTCGGGACAGAGACAAAGGTAAGCGCCCCTGGCAGAATGAAGACTTCGAGGTTGGTGCACACCACCAGGCCTGTTTCCAACGGACACCCTTGTCAAGCTGTGGAGTCTTCATAAGGCTTGTGGGGACAGCCACTGGAGACAGCCGCTTGTCACTAGGGACGCTGGCCGCCATGCACTTGTGAATTCCTGGAAACTGGTGAAGTCCCACAAGCCTTACGAAAACTTAACAACTTGATAAAGATATCAATTTAAAACCTCTCTAACAGAGTAACTGGAACAAGGCAACTCAGTGATTTCCAAGCAGACTTTTTATGTTAGGGGCAGAAAAACACATCCTGCCAGGGTTGTTATTACTGAGTATCTTGCTCAATGCTTGCTCCCCCTCTGTTACGATTTATTGCATGCTGCACCCTGCCTATCCCTCAGTGCTTAACAAATATCAAGAAAATACAGCTGTTTACTTGTAAAACTTGAGCGTAAAATTCCTGTAGCTGTAGCCTGGCTCTTGGTAGACTGGAAAATCTCTCACAGGGTCCGGCGAAATTATCTTTTCTGGGGGATCCACACCCAGGCACTCTACAGGGAAAGGAGACACTGCTTAAGAACAGACCTGTGGGATTTGTGCGTCAAAAGCAGGTTCAGGGTATCTGTCCCAATTAAGTTGCATTTTCTCCATCCTGTCTTCCTCCTGCAATGCAACACATAGAAAACAGGATTCCCAAAACAGAACCCACCCTGCACAAAACAGTGATGAGTGAAAGCCTCATCTTCCCTGAGTCCACGTTTCAAATCAACAAAAAACTGCTCTGGAACAGGAGTGCAAATCAGAAAGGTGGAGGTGGGTACAGCAGCCTCCGGGCCCTAACGAGGACTGCACAACACCATACCATCGTCTATATCAGGGCTGCCTTTCTTCTCCCACACCCAATATAGACCCCACATGGCTGGACCGGAGGCAAGCAATGGAAGCCGCGCACACGCACACACACACACACACACCCAACAGACACACGCACACTGTGTATGCAGAACAGGTGAGACACACACACACACACACCGGGGACCGCGGGGAAGAAGCTCACACTCACCAGTGACAATCTTGGGATCGATGTTGAAGGTGTCGTTGGCGGGGTCAATCCTCCCTTTGCGGTAGTACTGCTGGCAGAGCATGAGAGCTGACTGGTTGGCCCCGGCTGCACGCACATAGGCATAGCGTCCGATCGTCTCATTGGGAAGGGCCAAGTACTGAGGGGGGAGAGCTGCCGTCAGCACCCTGCCTGCCGGTCATGCCCAGCGGTCCCCCCGACGCGGGGCGCACACGGTCCCTCCACCTCCCCAGCAACACACCTGCTCCCCCTCCTCCTCACCTTGCCCACGGCATAGGAGATGCGCTCGTAGACATCCGCCTGCGTGTAGACCGCGTACGTGTCCTCTGACCCCTCTGCATAGTCCTTCAGGAAGAGGTGCTTGAAGGTCATGGTGTTCTCCTCCTTGAAGGTCACGACCATCTGGTTGCTGAGTCCAAAGAGGATGAGCTGCAGGAAGGGGAACCAGTCAGCACGCAGCAAAAGGGGGAGGGGGAGGAGGGGGAATTTGGAAAGCTTCCGTCTTGCGCCAGCTGACTTCTCAGACCGCTGTCTTCCTTCACCATCGGGGCCCTCCGGGGACTCAGCCAGAGAATGCCGCTCCTTCCTCACTCTGAAGAACCTTCAGCGGAACCTGGTGACTGACTGGTAGCCCATGAAGGGACTGCAGAAGGGGCATGAACCACCTGTTCCACTTTGTACCCAGTAGTAGTAGGCAGCCCGCAGACTGCATTACCACGGTCCAGCCGCAAGCTAACCTCAGCATGGATCCACATGGCCAGATCGGCTAAGCAAGGCATGGGGTCCTCTCCCAGCCTGAATGAAGCTAAAAGAATACCTCCTTCCTTGCCCCTCCGACGACAATTCCCGGATCCGGTATAAACCCTGCGCTCCTGACCGAGTCAAGTGCAGAGCGGCGTGCCCTTCAAGAACTCAGAGCCTTCCTAACCGTCCTGACTTGTCAGGATTCAGTTCCAGTTTGCTTGCCTCACTAACCACACACTCAGGCACACACACGTCCAGGACCTCCACAGTTATCAGCAGGCGATCCGGACAGAGAAGGACAGAGCCGGGTGTTGAGAACGTGTGGAGAGCCAGGGCGCTGCAGTGGTCAAAGTGCTGGACCAGGGTCGGGGAGACCCAGGTTCAAGTCCCTACTCGTGCCACGGAAGCTTCCCGGGCGACCTCGGCTGGTCCCACAGTCGCAGCCTAACCCTACCTCGCAGGGCCGCTGTGAGGGTGGAGGAGAGGAGGCGGATGGAGGGCACTCCCCGGGTCCCCCCTGGGGGGAGAGAGGGAGGCAGGCAGGGTATAGACAAAATAAGCAAGCGGGTTGACTAGCACAAGCGGCTACGGCTGTGGGCCTTGCGGAATCCCACCCGTCCCGCACGACCGACAGCCGGTCTCCATCAGCCGCACTCCGAGCCCTGCTGATGAGGGGGGCTGCATCCCAGCTTCTGCCCTAACAGGGTCAAAGGCAGAATGTGAATCCCTGAGACACCGACCGAGAGGCCCACGGCCCCGGCCGGCATCCAGACGGAGATCACGGACTGAGGCCACCGGCACCACCTCCGTCCTACAGCCCAGCTGGAAGAGCTGCTCTTCCTGCCCTCTCACCCAGAAGGGACACTTTAGAGACGGGGCCAGAATCGGCCACATCGTTCTCTAGCAGGGATTTTTTTTTTTAAAGCAGCAGACGGATGACCTCCTCAGCCCACGGGCCCACGAGCATCATGGTGCCTCCTGCTGTGTATTTCAGGGAAGCTGATGGGGCTAATGGGAAGAACCTGCGACTGGCTGCCTTTACATAAGGGGGGCCCCTTTCCACTCTCCTCTGAGTTGTGTTCTCTCTCTGTGTGTGTTATTCTTTGTGAGTTATTCCCCACTCCTGTCCTCTTAACGTGCGTGTGGGGATGCCCACGCAATAGCTCAAAAAGATTGGGGATCCCTGGCCCAGGACACCAAGGCATTGCTGCCAGGTTGCTGGGGGAAAACAGGGGGCGTACTCATCAGTAGCCGTTGTTCCTTGAGCAATCTTTTGTGCCAGCACAGATTGGGAACACTGCATAGGTGCAGTGCGCAGCCACGGAGTTTTCCAGGGCGTGAGGAGGGCTCCTCTCTCCCAGTGGCCTTGGCCACCCTTTCCTACCACATAACCCGGAAGGTGAGCCTGAGTGGTTGCTCCCACCCGGGAACCCACAGCCAAAGGGGGACATGACACTGGGAGACGCTTGGTGCCGGGGGGGGGCAACAGTGGGAGGGGCTTCTGGTGTCCTCCTGGCCCCACTGCCGGACCTCCTCCCGAGGGCCCCTGATGGTATTTCTGGCCACCGTGTGACAGACAGAGTGCTGGACTGGAGGGGCCACTTGGCCTGGTCCAACACTGGCTTCTCTCCTCTTAGGTTCTTAGGCTGGCAGTCCCCAGCCATTTTATGTTCCTAGGCTCAGAGAATTTTATATTTTTAGTTTATATGTTTACTTTCTACTGTGATCTTTGTGCTTTTTCTTGATGCTTTATTTTAAAAACTGCATTGCCAAATCCCACTACCCCCCCCCCACCTTTCCATTTTAGGCAGGCATCTTTTTTGGGGGGGGGGAGAAGGTTTGGGAGGTGTCAGTTAAATAAACAAAATATTGCAAGAGTTTTAAGCATATCTGTATTCTAAATAAAAATAATATATTTAATTGTGTTTGTATCTTTTATAAAGTTTAGATCTCTGCTACCTGGCATTACATTTTATGACACGCATGGCCTGACCCCACAAAGTCCCATTTATGTCAGATCCCGCCCTTGTAATAAGTGAGTTAAATACCCCTGGATTAGCTGGACCACTGGTCTGACCCAAAAGGGCTCCTTAAGTACTATTTCATACAACGAACAACTGACCAGTGGAACTCCCTGCAATAAAAAGTGGTGACAGCCAATGTCGCCTCTAAACTGTAGTCATGTGAGGTTCTGGCATTAAAGTTGTGAGCGAGCGATCTGGCTACTGCATAAATTATCCTGCTCTGGAGCCATCCTTCCTGAGCGGAGACAGAAATGTGTGAGCCGGAGGCTAAAAAACTGTGAGCTAGCTCACACTCACTCAGCTTAGAGGGAACACTGGTGACATCCACTACCTGAGACACATTTTTAAAGGAGTTGGAAAACCTAAAGAGAACAGGTCCATCTTTGGCTATGGCAGCGAAAGGGGACCGCTAAGTTCAGAGGTGTCTGAAGCAGACAATCAACAAACAGCAAATCTTCAGGCTACACCCAGAGCAAGTCCAGCTAGGGATCCCCACCCCACCCCCACCCCGGGTCCACCTACCTGGATGGTAACAATGAGTATCTTGACCAGCTGGAGCACCAACTTAAAAGGCTTGCGGCCTTTGGCACGAAACTTGTCGCAGGGGCTCATGAAGTAATACTTAAGGCGCCTGCGGAGGTCCTCCTCTTCTGGCTGCAGTGAAGCCGCACTGAGGCTCATCTTGCCTTCCTCATCCTGGGACCCGTAGCTGTTCACGGGGGTCAGCAGCCTCTGTGTCTCTGTCAAGACACAGAAGAACACAGAGCATCACAACAGTCCCCCCCCCCCGTTTCATGCCGTAAGAACAGAACTCCCTCCCCAAAGCAATTCTTGTATTAAGTGGCCCAATTCAGAGGCTTTCTGAATCTGCCAGTTTTTCAGCACCCTAAATTCCTGGAGTGCAGGATGCAATTATTCTTAACGCAAGCCTGATACCTCTTTCCCCTTTCCCCAAAATTAGGCAAACAATGAAAAGCTTTACAGTTCTGTGAAGTGCTCAGAGCATCTGATGTCCTCCTTACCCATCCTGCAGTCCTAGATTCAACCGCTCCCAGGAAGATCTGCCACTAATCTGTGCTTCTTGGGCTCTGCTGAGGCATACAGCAGGTCAGGGAACACCTAAGGATACGCATATACAAACACACGTGAGTTCACGCCTTTGGTGAGGTAATGCCAAGCCATGACTGTACTGAACAGCCAGCCACGGGAACTGTGATCGCTCTGACTGTGACCAAACTGTGACCAGGTAAACCAGGCCTTGCCACATAAAGATCAGTTTCACGGCTGATGTAATATAAAGCAAGTAAAAACTGCTGCCGCCCAACCCCTTGGGGGAGGGGGACAGAGAGGGATGAAAAAAGTAATTACCAAGGAACAGTTTTCAGCAAGGCAGCCCTGTCTTTCTGGTTGCCAAACTAAGGAGGAAACTCCCAACAGGACCTAAACTGAAAAAACAAAAACAAAGTTCAGCACAGACAACAGAGAAATCACCTTTCAATATATTACCGAACAGGCAGCCTCTCATCCCAGTTCAAACAAAATCCTCCAAGGCTCTGAAAAAAGAAGGGTGTCAAGTCCTGGATGCAACCACTCTCACAATCACTCTTGTAGCAGCAAGATTTGTTTATTAAGAGGTAGAAAGGTTCCAAACATAGACAACTTCTGTGTCGTAACTGGGGCCCAGACACCAGTTCCGCCAATGCCAAGCGACCGATCGTTGCTCCCACTCAGCTCACCACACGCCTGCCCCTGCGACTGCCCCTAACACCTGCAAAGTAATGGTTACACTATCTAGAAGCTCCCCAGATCAATGCTCCCTCTAAGCTGTGGAGCCTTGTGAGCAAAAATTCTACTTTGTGAGCTACCGGCATTAAAGCTGTGAGCGAGTGACTTGGCTACTGCATACTTTAGTTTGCTCTGGAGCCATCCCTTCCTGAGCTAAGGCAAAAATGTGTGAGCCGGAGGCTAAACAACTCTGAGCTAGCTCACACTAACTCAGCTTAGAGGGAACACTGCCCCAGACTACAAGGTCACACAGGACAATGAGATCATATCCCTCCCAAGGTGTTCTCAAGACACTCAGGAGGCCCCCGCGTGAGAACTGTTACGAGCTGGCACCAACCAAGCAAAGCAGGCAGCCGTGCACACCCACTCTCCCCCTCCAGTTCCCAGCAGAGATGATGAACAACGGCAGTGAAAAAGAGCAAGGCCGCGTGCAACACAGGAGTTGTAGAAGAGTACATGTGAATCCATAACACAACCGATGGAATAATGAAATGAGGAGCAAAAACCCCTAATGCAAGTGTGAGAAAACAGGAAATATTTGACAAGTGAGGCCCGAGCTCGACAAAGAGTTCCCAGATCTCCATGTTACGTTTTAGGAACTGCATCTCAAATCTCAAGGGCCTCACAAAATTTGATATGTTTATCCATCTCAGGATTACAGAATTTAGCAAAACAAATAAAAACGTCAGGTTCTACAATGCCAAGACCATGGCTACACAACCCGGAAAATCCGCAGCAACTAATGAACTCCAGCTGTGAAAGCCTTCGACAGCAAAACAAAAACATGGCCTTTTGAAGCCTCACGCAGAACCCTGTTCATGATCAAAATACCACTTGTTCGTGAATAACAGAATACACCAAAGTCCCTGTTAGCTGCCGTGGAAATGTTACTGTATTTACTTCATTTATGCTCGGTCTTTCTCATCGAAACTCAAGGGTTACCAGATAATAAAAACAAGGCAAAAAAGAGCATAATACATATAATAAAACTAGATTACACAATTAAAGAACAATGACAAAACAATGTCGTATACCCAATTTAAAAAGCCGCATATAGGGGCATGAAAAAAGAAAACCACCCAACAATTTCACGGGTGATCAACATTTACTATCCTATCACCTATACAAAAGGGGTCCGCTGCAGCACTGCTCTCTCCTGTATAAAAAATCCCCTGCCTGCAAAACGAGAGAAAAGGGAGAACCTTCCTGATTTTGCCTGGCTGGCTATTCCACCAGGTGGGAGCCACCACTTCACCACCCCCCCCCCCCGGACAGGGTGGCACCTTCCGAAAGCCTTCCCCAGATAAATGAAGCCGCCTCAGCAGGGCATACCGAGAGGGCCAGTCCTGCAGATATATGGGTCACAGGCCAGGAAGGGCTTTGGAAGTAATAACCAGCACTTTAAACTGCACCCGGAAATTAATCAGTAACCACTGGAGCAACTACAGAGCAGGGACAAATAGGCATACTCTGTGTAGATCCTGACAGTTAATTTATTTATTTATTATTTATTTATCTTGTACCCCCCCGCCCTCCCCGCCGAAGCAGGCTCAGGGCAGCTTACATAAAGTTACAGGAGATAAAACAAAACAATATAAATATCAGAATAAAACACAGCATAAAAGCACATAATACACATGGATCCACCCCCCTAAACAGCTCCATATTTTGTCAATTTGTTAATGAGTTGTGAGCTTCTGTACCGGGTGAACTTTCCACACTGTCATCAAGAGGACAAACCCACGTAGAGCGTCTTTCAACAGTCTGTCCTAAAGGTTACAACCTCTCGCTTTGCCTGGCCAAGCATTTGTTCAAGACATACAGTAGAAACGGGTTCCGGTCTTGCTATGAATGACGGCAGATTGGAAGGGCTGGTCAAAGAACCGAGCGACGGCCACTTTTGACAGTTTGGGCAATACACAGCCCAACGCATCACTCCCCAGCGAGGGGGGGGGTCAAGCAGGCAGCAGCGCCCTAGAGGGAGTGTGAGGTTGGCGTAATCCAGCTTCGGAAGAAGCTGAATTGGGCTTTGACCTCCTCCCACGAAGAAGGCAAGTGCCAAGCAACTCTATAGTGGCCGATCGAGCCGGATTACCGGCATAAATTCTTCGTCATAGGCATACTCTGTGTAGATCCCGACAGTCAACTTATTTATTTATTATTTATTTATCTTGTACCCCCCCGCCCTCCCCGCCGAAGCAGGCTCAGGGCAGCTTACATAAAGTTACAGGAGATAAAACAAAACAATATAAATATCAGAATAAAACACAGCATAAAAGCACATAATACACATGGATCCACCCCCCTAAACAGCTCCATATTTTGTCAATTTGTTAATGAGTTGTGAGCTTCTGTACCGGGTGAACTTTCCACACTGTCATCAAGAGGACAAACCCACGTAGAGCGTCTTTCAACAGTCTGTCCTAAAGGTTACAACCTCTCGCTTTGCCTGGCCAAGCATTTGTTCAAGACATACAGTAGAAACTAGGTTCCTGGATACCATGAATGACCGTATATTGGAAGGGCTGGTCAAAGAACCAACCACGACTTAGTTGTGAGCAGGGCTCGAGATCCGGTGCATCACGCTCAGCAATCCTGTCGATGGAAAGTTCCCCCAAAGTCCGAAACTCACATGTGACTTCAAAGCAGGAAACTTTACCAACAAAAATGAGGGGACTAATCAGAAGGAAGTTAAATGGAAGAAGTAAGGAAGTCAAATCTCTCCACAATATGCTTCAAATCTATTTAAAACTACACTGAGGCACAGACGGAATTCCTACAAGTCAGCAAAGGTACCCCCACCAGGTCTAAAAGGATGCCTGCCTGCCTGGCTTCACAACCCAAATCAAGGGAAACACAGAAGGTAAAAACAGCCTCTTTAAAAATGGAAGTTTCGCCCAAATGAGGTGCATGGAACGGAGCACCTACTGGTCCTTTTTACAGGGATATCCGATCTCATTTTATTACTCCACTTTTAGATGGTAAGAGTTGGCATTCTGATGACTCAGTTATTCACTTTCTTCTGTTTAATACTAATTGTGAAATAACAGAGGCTGTTGCAAAATATTTACATTACGCAATCAGCAGATGAGGTTTGAATAGCCAAGTGTGACTGATGTACCTTAGTATTTTGCTGTATTCCCAGAAAGTTTTGTGCTTTCAATGCCAATAAAGGTTCGTGTGTGTGCGTGCCACATACCTCCTGGAAGGATACAGAGGTGAACAAGCCCGATTACATTACTAGTGATGTGGTTAGCTGACATTATGAGGTTCTGTTGTCTAAGTGGACATGATATTATGTGGACAGAGGTGCCATCTATACCTGTGCTTTAATGTCTCTGTTAGGAAGCTGTTTGTAGGCAAGACCCCTCCCCCAAGGGCCATGACAAGACGGTCCCATTCCCAAGGGCAGGCTCTAGCTCACTATGCTCTATTAGAGTGTTTCATAGCCGGGAGCTACCGGTAAGAACACGTGCTGTTCTGTCACTTTGCCGGTTGGACCTGTCCTATGGAATTTGTCTCCAGACGTCAGTCTGGCTGTGGCAATCTCTTTCTCCCCTTCTGCCTGTGGATATCGACAGTTTTCCAAATGCATGATGTAAACCTTTAGGAACAGGCCCCAATGCAGTTGTACTGCAGGGCTTAAGCATAAACAACACATGGCTCGCATGGTGTGCTGCTCTGGAGGATAGCCAGAAAGATGAACAACAGTCAGGAGGCGTCTGATATGAAGTGGTGCTCCCACCACATATATTCACCACGGTGCATAAAACATGAGCCTATTGACCTAGCTATGATGGTTCACCACCGGCGCTTGCTAGTGAGGAGCGCTCTCGCCCACACCGGTGGCAAGGCCGTGCTCATTTGTCAGGCTGCCCACGCTCACCTGTGCTCTGCAGAGCGGTAGAAGACCCCACATGGCCTTGCAGGGCTCTCTTGCCTTACTTCCTGTGAGGGGGGAGGGCTTCTTTCTCAGGGAACTGTTCAGCCTCTGCCTGTACGTCTGAACTCTACCGGTGTATTTGAAAAAGGGTGCATGTACACAAAAGCTGGATTTGTTGGTCTTAAAGGTGCCACTGGACTCTGCATTTGTTCTTGGGGAACTATTTCACACACCTGACAAAATGGGCCGTACCCCCAGAAAGGTCTTTGTGTCGTTGCTGTGTTTAACTTTCTCTTGTCAGCAACAGCGCCTTTGAACACCCCTGGGTACAGCTCATGGGAGACCATCCATTTCCTCCACCCATCCCACCTCTCTCTCTCTCTCTCTGGTTTTCTGTTTTGCTTCCGCAGGGCTGGCCAAACATTTCCCCCTGAATCCTGACACCCGATGCCTGTCTGTCTGAGTTGTGCAGGGCATTCTCGGCCACTGTTGCGCGTGTGACTCACTTGTTCCTGGTGGTGGTCAAGGGTTCTTCCTCAGGAGGAATGTCCAGCTGGGCGCGCGCGCCTGTGCACCCCCGGGCGGCGCTATCCCATGGTTTCCTGGCAAAGGGAGGGAGCACGCGCGCGCGCGCAAGGTTAGCCTTTAAGCGCACAGTGTCGCGGGAGGGGCGCAAAGGGCACCGGAATCAGGACTCCATCCCCTCCCTAGCCACGGAAGGGGGGCGATGCGGGCGGGACAGGCCCGGGGGGTGGGGC